CAATTCTAGGAATTACAGAGTATTCTGATGGAAGATTTGAACCAACATACCAATATTTAACACAGAAGTCGGTCCTGGAACAGGTTAGACTCCTACATAGAGGTTCTACTGTACTTTGAATAGTTCATAACATATAAAAAATAGTATTTAAAAGGTTAATGGGGTTTCTCTGGTTCCATAACCCCCTTTGGGGCAATGGGTTTACACAGATCACACATTTCTAAGATGTTGTTAAGGAGATAACAACGTGTTTATGGAGGATCTGTGGGGGGGGAAACCCCACCCAAAGCCAGAGGCTGGGCCGGGGCTAAGGGAAAGACGACACCGGCTGAAGGACGGAAACACGCCACATGAATTATTCACAACTCTGCCCGGTCAGCAGAGGGGGGGTCTGCAGGGAGGAGCTGATTTAAAACCATTTAAAGGTTTAAAGATGACAAAAAGTGGACGAAATCATATAAAACTGGACCTCTCAAGTCTCAAATCTCATTATAACTTCATTCATTAGTGTTTGACTTTCTACTTTGTATGAAACAAACCAGGAAGGAGCTCATTCTAAACCATAAAAAGTGTTCGGATTACCTTATAAAATTGAGATAAAAGAGCCTAAAAACTCTCCAGAATTTTGCTGGTTGGTGTAATATTTCTATTAAACCCAAATCCATCCGGTCCTAAACGCATTGATCCACCTGAATCCATAAAAACGACTGAGCTCTGCCTCCATCTGCTGATTTATGCTCAAACCGGCCGACTTAATGAGGATTTTTACAGGAAACCGTGAGCAGAAAAACCTCCACAATGGCCCTGATTCACACAGCTGGCAGGTTGTGAGTCTGTGTGCACGCTTTCCTATTTTTAGACGTGCCGTTGTCTGGTTTGTTGCGTAACTTTGGGGTTATTGAGACGGTTAAGCCTAATCCTGGCTGCTGGGCTAAAGCTAAACGGCCTGGAGGCCATTTGTGCACATCCAAACAATCTGCAGCATCATCTCAGACCCACCGGAGAGCTGTGGACACAAATATTATAAAAATGATGAAAAATGTGGTGCAGATCTATATTTATGTAGGTTTACTGTCACAATTAAGAATTATTCTGACGCTTTCTGTCC